AAAATCTAGATACTTTTACTTTTACTTTTACTACTACTACTGCTACTGCTACTCCTACTCCTACATCAACTTCTACAATTGAACAGGTACAAAGGTTTCAAACCATGGTATCACAATTTCAGGATGTTGTTGATTTTTATCCAGTGTTAGCTTACGCTATAGATAGTGTTACAGATGAAATTTTACAATCTAAGCCAATTGATATCGAACTTTGGCGTGAATGCTTAATTTATTATCGTCAAGAAAAACAGAAGCGGGAAAGCAGTGACAATAATGATAATAGCACCATTTCTTCTGCTGCTTTCATGTCTGAACATCCATTATTATATCAATATGTTAGTCCTCTTTACTTCACTTCATCCACTCCATCAAATAATAGTGATAATGTGAATCATCGAGATCCTTTATCGCGTAATTCTAGAAGCATTGAAAATATTGGTGGCAGTAGAAATAATCATGGCCCATCACTCGAAGAAATATGCATAGTTAATACACCGTTATCACCATCACCAAGAAAAGTTTCGGTTGATGAATCGAATTTTGATGATAAAGTTAAACAACTTTGCGAAATGGGATTTTGGGGAGATGAAGGAGAAATGATTAAATTATTGAAAGCTCATAATGGTAATATTGGAAAAGTTGTCGAGGAATTGGCTTTAAGGTGTTAAAATTGTCCCCTTTTTTTTAATTATTACTTGTATCATTATTATCATGCTTGTATTTTTTGTTAAATATATGTATTTATTTTCAAGAATGTATGTATTGGGTAGCTATAATTATTTTATTATTTATTTATTTTATTAATAATAAACATTTTTTGTTATGATTTCTAATAGAAGATTACCGAATAATTAGTTTTTGTTATTTTTTGAATAATTATTCCATATCTATCATGAAAAATCAATGATCAATGCAATTCGCGAATAAATGGATGTGTTGAATTGATTTTAAATTTGAAAATGGCAATTTAATTGTAAGTATTGATTGTTTCAAACAGGTGGAATCAAATCACATTTGCATTATGTACGGGAGAGTGATGTGGTCATGAAGAGTAAAAATATATTAGGAAGAAGGCTCACTGCTTTATCCATAGAGATTTGGTTGAGAAATAAGCATAGAACAAAACAGTAGACAATGCCGCAAATTTCTTGGTCCTTTGGTTCTAGGTTTAAAGCTTCGTTGAAAGATATAGATTTTCTATAGACAATGAATGACATAAATATTTTTGCAGCTCGAACTCAAAAGAGACGAGTTCCAATTCCAACTTTAAACAATGTCAAAATCCTAAGTCTCAAATCCCAATTTTGAAATGTTTATTATTATTAGATGTATACAAATTAAAATCATTAGCATAAAAAACAACTCTTATAAAAAAAAAAAAATAAATGGTAATAGAAGATGAACCAAATGAGAACATTTCTTAACCCTCTCTCTACTCTATTTAATATGACATCAACATCAAATCATTCTTTGTTGATATTTCATGACATGAAATTTCCAAATATGAAGAGCTTCCGATCCAACTATTCCATTTTCAATATGTTCTTCTCATAGCCACTTCACGCGTTAGTGATAAATTTTGCCGTGCTTATTCAAACATGCTACATTGAACTGTCCACAAGAAATAACGAATTAATCGAGTATATATTAAGAAATGACAATATTATTATTGTTCAAAAAATTTTTTTTTGATAAACGGTTCGCATAAAATTGATTTTGAAGTATTACAATTATACCGTTCCAAAAATGTAAAACTGACACTAAGCTTAAAAGAATAAAGCCAGATTGGATTATACTTTCACTAATTTGCTTTGCAAACCAGAAAAATTGTTTCTTAAATAGCCACTGATTGTCTAGAACACCAAAGACTTGAAGTTCTGTTTCCGGCAGCAATCAGCAAATGACATCTCTGTTACGATTTGTTTCATGTGTGCATCATCTACTTTCTTTTTGAGTTCAATAACTGCAGTTAAACCAGTTTATGACACAAGCGCATTCACAACTGGTTTTTATCAATACAATAATTGTATAACTGTTCTGCCTCTCAAATCAAATGGTAATCAATGAACCCATGTCTATTCCCATGAATCTATGGTTTCTGACATCCAACCTAATGGGATTGGGAACCTGAAGATACTCTGGTCTATGTTCTGGCTCTGATTTTGGCTCAAACGAAATCCATAAATTTATTGTTTGAAGTTTTAAACCAGTTTTTTTTGTTTAATCGTAATGTTATAATACTTGATATTGAAGGAAACTTATCTTCTGATGCATTTCGTGTATCTTTTTGATGGTTCGTTATGACAAATAAGAGGAAATCAAACTAACGTTGCATGTTTTGTTATCAATCAATCTGCTAAAGTGTCTAATGAGTATATGTTGTGGATATCCAGGGTTAACAAGATCTTCGTAAGTTGTTGAGGTCTTCTTTTGATCGAAATTCACCGGATATTTGGATATGTTGTGCGTGAAAATTAAACCTGAAATTCTTATGTGAATTTATTGCTTTTTTACGTAAATTAAAAAAGTACGAGTCAAATTAATCCTGTGAATAATAAGGTTTTCTATGCCAAGAAGGCATAAAGGATTGATCTGCATTACGTGATAACACGGTTTGAATTGCCACTATTATATGCGAATGCAATATCTGTTATGCGAGATTTGCTTTTTTTCAGTATTGATTGCATAATTTTAATATGCTAATATAAATCCATTATTAATTAAATATTAGATATTTTATATTTATTTCAGCAGACTAATTTTATATTTATATGTCTCCGTTTAAAAATATATCGAATAAGAAGATGAATTGGTAGGTAACAATTGGTGAAGGGAAGAAAAAATGTACAAGTTAGTCGACACATCAAACATCTATAAAACACAAGTATTCTGGTTATGACATTTCTCTCCCAGAACATGATTGAGTGAATAATTTTTCTTTCTCTTTGCGTCTTCTCTCGCGTTTTTTTTTGTTTTGCTCTTATCTCCTAGTTTACATTATTTTTGCAAACAGGCTTGGCTGCATTCACGAAATTTTTTCAAAAGATTCTTTTCGAATTCATATCTGACTTGATAGCAAGGTTATTGGTAAAGAATTTTCGAATATCAGTTTTGCTTTTTTTATAGTCATGAGACGGAGAGTAAGTATTCTATTAATATGCTAATCAAAGTCAGATAGTGATGGGCGTAAAAATTATTTTACTCCCTAATGTGCATATTTTGGATCTTGAATGGCTGCTGCAAGTACATACTGCTTCTATTCATGTGAACCGGTGCTTACATTAATGACATCCACATGAAGGTTGAGTCGTTGGGAGTCAGAAAGTATTGATTTGATGAAAAAGACATATATTGGAGTTACTAAAACCAAAAATGTTGAAACGAATACATTGAAATCATATCCAATCAACTCAAGGTAAAAATAAAGTTCATTTTTGATAAATTAGAAAAATAGAAGCTTTTCTTTTTCTATGTGATGCACAGAACCCCGTTTATTCCAACTTTTTGTTATTATTGTTGTGGAGCAGAAATGTCAAAAATTCGTTATAGCACACGTTTATTACAATAGTAATAGTAATTTCAGTGATAATATTAATTGCTTATCAATCATTCCAAGATTTTCGAAAAAAATGAAGCGTGACTTTTATATAACAACTAAAAGTATATAAATGACCTGCAGTACTGGTAATGGGTATAATAATGGATTTCGATTTCATCAATATGTTTGCTCTTAAGATTATATTTATAAGCAGACCCAAAGTTTATTTTCGCGCAAGAAAATCTTGCAAGTGTTATTGGGATTTACTATTTAAAAACCACCTCAAACCTGAAATCCAAATCACATTACATCCCGATCAGGGCAAATATTTCTATGCTGCAATAATATATTATTATTATTAATCTAGATTTGCGAGAACAAATCATCTCTTCTACGTAAGTAGATAATCCTGAACCCTTGAATAAAGAAAACCCTTACACTTCAAAGTGGCCCTTTCGATTACTAGTGGCAGGTACTCCGAATCTGGAAAAAAATCCATGGTTGTGAATTTAAATTACTCGCTAATAAATATCTGCAATTATATTCGATGGAAAACGTAGATATAAAATATCTAAAAAAATAAATCATGGTGAAAAATATATTCTTTGTGATGATCTAATTGTTGTTGTAAAACCGCAAGACGAAGGAAACTATACTAATACGCTAGCTTTATGAATTTATAACCATTAGTAAACATGCCCCTTGGTTTGAAGGTGTATGTAACTTTCACTATGATTGGACCCGAAGAACTTCCAGATACTTCAATCTTCAAAAAAAACAGGTCGAAGGATTGTTATAGTATTTGATGATTTTGCCGATGAGCCTATATAACATTTCAACAAAAGGTTAGGGAGTTCTTTAGAAGTGGAAGGAAGACATTCAAATATTGGCACAATTTTTATAGCCCATAATTACTTTGAAACATCTATGCATCGTGGTGGAGCTGGTCATTGGAAAAATTCAAGCGCATTCTTGGTAGCACGTATCCTAATTATGATGATGTAACATAAAAATACTTTGTTATTACAGATCTCAAAAAGCCGTATGATGATTATTAATTATCTATCAGATTCAGATGGGACAAGCCTTTGATGAGTTCTAATATACAAAGGGGTAGAAACCCCAGATCAAACCTCGGGTGAAGATAAGACATAAGGTAAAATACTTTCCGAATATAATCAATATTGTGAGATGTTCGAGTCGCAAACATATATATATATATATATACGCTTTACTTTCGAAACTATTCCTTATTAAACAATACCTCGATAATTAACGTTTCGATAAATAATACCTCGCTAAGAGAGAAGAAAAAATAAATAAAGAAAATAATTGTACACGAAATTAGTATGAAGACTAGCCCCAAAATAATCTTCAAAATTCCTTATTATCTAATTTAGCTATAGCGCAACAACGTCAGCAAAATCAATCTACACAACAGCAACAACAAAATATTGATAATATGACAGATTATAATGCTACCATGATTGAAGTTGCGGCGGCAGCAGCTACACCAAATCGAGATAATAATCCATATAATATATTAAGACCTTTAGTTGGTATACCAATGAACAATAATACTATTTCTAACAATAATAATAATATTAATAATAATAATGACGGAGGAAATGTTGTTAGTGGACAAACAAGAATAATTCCATCATTGATGACTGGTATGAGTGATCAATATGCAGAAACAGGAGTGGTCACAGCGGCATCACTTCAACAAAAACAATTCCAACATTTACAAAATGTGGGATTTCCTACAGGATTTATTAACACCACAGATGCTGTTACAAATACAGGATTCAATCCTACAAATGCCTATCATATGGCGAGATATCCAAGTACAAATAATGATGGTATTGGTAGCAGTAATGATAATAATAACAATAATCCATTGGATGTAATGGGTACAATATCAAGTAATGTTTTAGCTGCTGCTGGCGGTAGTGGTGATGGTAGTGTCGTAGGTATAGGTGTGGGTGGTAGTGGTAACAATATGATTGCTGGAAATCTTTTAGTAAACAATAATAATTTGGAAAACGATGTTATTGGAATTAATGAATTGACAGCTGCTAATGGATTTGTAAATAATGGAATTGCGAGCGGTACAATAGGATTGCCAAACATGCTGAATCATGAAAATGAAATTTAAACGGGACTTGGGTTATCAATCAATTAACTATTGTGACGCCCATCCATAATCAATATTGGTCAGGTCAGGTTTAATTAATTAATCCACTCGTTTACATTAAAATATTCAAATTAATTTATTTTGATTTTTTTTGATATGAAAATTTTCTTACCATTCTTACAATATGAATTAAAAAAAGACTTTAATTTATCTATTTTATCCAGAGGAATATCAGCTTTAGTAAATGCTTCAATATTGATTTTGTCATGATCATTATTAGTGAAAGAAAGCAAAGAGCTTTGTAAAGGTTGTGGATTATTTTTATGTTTTAATATATATAATCATCATCGATCACTTACATAAAAGTAAATTATACACGTAGATTATGTGATTATGCCAAAAAATGGTCAATTATGCTCAAAAATTAAGAAGTGTGCAGCAATTTATGCGAAAGCATAATCCTGAACACCCTAGTTTGATGTAATTGAATACTAAAATAAAGTTACATGAACGTAAAAACCTTTTCTTTATGAAAATTCACTCACTCAACATCTCTACATCCCTAATTCTAAGAGTAGACCCTTTTTTTTTCGATAATCTTAAAAAAATGTTATAGATGTGTTCTTTGATATTTGTTCATAACGCAAAATAAAAGAGATTGTTTTATAGCACTAAAGTATATAGTGCAAGTCACTAGTCGCTGAACTTTTTGTGCTACACCGCCATTTTTTGAGAAAAAAATTTCCAATCAAAAATGCAATAAAATTTGTA